GCGGATGAGTGAGGGAGAGGTGATGGAGAACAGGCATGCCCACAGCAGCCAACCGGGGTGTTGCAGGGTGCAGCACAGCCCCAGGAACTGGACTTGGAAGAGCTAAAAGCTGCAGCCACGACTACCCCACTCCCCCCTACTACACAACAGAGTATTGGCCCAGTATTGGCCCAAGTGCACCAAGACAAAATGGCCATTTCAGTTGTCTGATCTGGTCCAACAGTGTAGTGCACAGGAGAACACGTCATCTATGGCACACATGCCAATACAAATGTAACAACAGGAAGGGTAAAAACGAGAAGAGACCTTCTTGATCACTTGGTTAGTAAGAGCTAACTGATCCAGCGAATGGCATCAGACCATGTCTTGAAAGGCCTCTTGGAATACGCTTCAGCCCCTTTGTGGAGACATAGCTCTCATTTTTTGGAGACCCAGGCTACCTCTTTCCTCGGTCCAGACGGCCATGTGTCCTTCTAGGCCATTCAGTCATCCATCAGAGCTCCCTGTGAGCCTGCAGTAGAGTCTGGCCAGGTCCCAGCTCCACGGGTGGGGCTTCACAGCCAGGAGATCAGAAACTGTCAGAAGGAGAAAAACACATCCCGGGAAATGAAGATGTAGCCCTGCGCTGGAGCTAAAGATAGCCTGCTGTCCCCCGCACTCTCGCCCACCCCCTCACTGCTGCACAGCCAGCAGAGGTCAGAGTTCGCGCATTGCGGCTGAGTGGGCGCCTGGAGATTAAAAATAACCGTGGGAGAGAGAAGGAGCGGACAGATGCACGCTCTGACTTGCACACGCTGATGGGAAAAGTAGAAAGTGGGGGCACGCTGGCTTATTTCACTGGTGGGAGCGCACATCGGACGATACAGGGCTTTCTCAGGCGGGACTTGGAGTGCTGGGCTCTCCCCGTGGAGATCCTGTTTTTATATCCCGTTCCCACTCCAGACCCCTGAGAGGGCCGGGGAGTTTTGCTTCATTGCACCTCTTAGCTCAAGCAAAGCTGGAGATTTTGTGACCAAACTGTTGGCTTTTGTTTTCGTAGATTGCATTCAACGCCTGACATTTTCAGAACCGAAAGTGGGTGGAAGTGCATTCTGTTGTGCATCGGTGTCTTTAACTGACAGCGCATATCACGGCTGGATTGTTTCTTCCTCCTCTGAACTTAAGGCCACCTGATCATTGTAAATTGCAGGGTTCATCCTTCTAGACCTCAGGGTTGTGTTCATCCCATGACATGGCTGCCTGTGTTTATCGGTGTGCATTTGTACTGACTTGCCCTGATGTGCTTTCGAAGTGAGGTGTCATACGGGTGACATCTCTCATGGTCACGCCTACCCCAGTGCATTCTGGTCACCGTGCATTCTGGTCAGGGCGGAGCTGTGACCTGCCGACCAGTCCACTCACAGGGGCACGAGCCTAGGATTCGCACAGGGAAAGGGTGCAGATGCCCAGCAGTGCTGCCGGGGTATATCTGGTAACTGTAGCTAACACGCTGTCTACACCAGGGCTGGGTTACCCCACTTTATAGAGAGTCAGATTCCCACAGACGCTACAAGTGCTTTTCAATGAGCAACATAGGCTGCAAAAATAGATCAGGCTATTTGAGTACTTCAAGTTTATTTCATAGGTGTAATGAAACGCAGAGAGCTCTATGACCGTCAGACTTGGGGCTGATGTAAATCGTGACCCTAAATTTATAACCACTAAACATGGGGATTTCCGCCTGCCACTAGCTTAGATCCGGAGAGCAGCCATTCACAGAGCTTCTCCATCTCCCAGCGAGTGTAGGGATAAGGGGTATTAACTGTTAACTCTGACCTCTTCATTTACAAATTGGCCATTCCCAGTTGGATAATGTGCTGGGCGCCCCTGGCCGGGCCCTGGCTAATCCCCAGGGTTGTGTTGTGCGTTTGCTTGGACTGTTGCAAAACTGAGATGAGCTTCCCTGCATCCGTCCGAAAGGGTCGCGGCCGCCCGGAGTCTATCCCAGAAGGAATGTGCGTTTAGCCGAGCCTAATTCGACAAGCGGAGCTGCCATCTCTCCTCCCTTCCCCCTTCCTCTTTCATTCCTCCCATCAAACCTCTGTCCGTCTCTCCCCACGCCTCTCATTGTCTGGCCGTTCAGTTTTGAGCCGCTCAATAGCCCTTCATTGAACCGGCTCACAAGCGAGCCCGGCATGATTGGCGCCCCGGCTTGCGCTATTGAGAGGCGGCGCCGAAGCCGCAGGCTGCCGGCAGAGCTCTCACGGGCACACAATGGCGAGTGTCCGCGCACACCGCGGTTTCTCCGGGGGCGTGTTCTCGCCTGCCTGCGGGCTGCGAGCTCGGCACAGCGAGGCCGGCAGGAGGGCTCCGTCACAATGCAGCAACTTCAGCTTATCGAGAGGCCGTTTCTGTCAGCAGAGGGCTGCCCGGGAGGAGCGCCTTCCTGCTGAAGAGGATGCTGGGACTGGGGAGGTGTCAGCCCTAGTAGAAGGGAATGATATAGTAAGCCTACAATAAGAGGGCAAACAATGCCAACTGCTGGAGGCAAGAAAGAACCCCAAAATTGGAGAGAGCAGGGGGGGGGGTCCCCGATAGAGGAAAGCACACAGTTCCAATTCGGGAAGGCTTCACCGGGACCCTCAGACTGCCAAGCCACAGCCCCCCAGATCGCCTTGCTCCTCACTGGAGTGTTTCCTCCTGCAGACGGACCGCGGGCACTGAGGCCGAAGGAGTAAAGGAGTCCGCTGTCGTGAATCCTTGCAGTTTCTAGAAAGCTCTGTGTCACGCTGGCTGGCAGGGACGGGCGGCCCCAGCCTTCCCCCGTCACCTCGCTGAGTGAATTCGCAGGACAAGTCCTCCGGCCCGTGTCTGAGGTCGCGGTCAGTCGGCGCCGGACCCCGGCTGCCGAGCCCGTCCTGCTCGCTGATACACACTGATTGCACTGCGGGCGTCACATCTCAGCCCCCCTTGCGTGTGCCAGCGGACCCCTGGGGTTGTGTTCTCGGCGATGGCTAACGCGAAGCAGCGCTTTGCAGCTCCCCGGTGCCTCGATATCTCCCCCCCAGATCGGCTCACCGTCGCTCGCTCGCTCTCTCTGTGTCAGTGTGTGACCTCAGGGCTGAGTACCGCAGTGATGCCAGCCAAAATGCCATGCTCTTCAGTGACCTTTCCAGGCTGCTGTCGCTTTGACCACCATCTCGGACTTAACCCTTTCATGGACAGCGCAAGTTAAGCACATTACAGCCCCTTCGTATTGGAAGAGAGAACCTTACTGCAGACAGAACTCCCCTAGTTTAGCCTGGGTCGTACAGCATGTTCATATCATGTGTGATCGGATTTGTTGCAACTAAAATGTCGTTCCTGTAATTACCTTATAGTCTATAGCAGTGTGATTATAGCAATATCTGTGCTGCAGTAGCTGTGTTGCGATGTTGCTGTGCAGTAGCAGTGTCGCAGTGTTGCGCTGCAGTAGCTGTGCTGCAGTGCAGTATCTGTGTTGTTGTGCAGTATCTGTGTTGCTGTGCAATAGTGGTGTTGCTGTGCAGTAGCCTGTGCTGCAGTGCAGTAGCAGTGTCGTTGTACAGTAGCTGTGTTGTTGTGCAGTAGCAGTGTTGCTGTGCAGTAGCAGTGTTGTGGTGCAGTAGCAGTGTTGCAGAGTTGCTGTGCAGTAGCAGTGTTGCGGTGTTGCGGTGCAGTATCTGTGTTGTTGTGCAGTATCTGTGTTGCTGTGCAATAGCTGTGTTGCAGTGCAGTAGCTGTGTTGCAGTAGCTGTGTTGCGGTGTTGATGTGCAGTAGCTGAGTTGCAGAAGCAGTGTTGCGGTGCAGTAGCTGAGTTGCAGTAGCAGTGATGCGGTGCAGTAGTTGTGTTGTTGTGCAGTAGCTGAATTGCTGTGCAGTAGCTGTGCTGCAGTACAGGTAGCTGTGTTGCGGTGTTGCTGTGCAGTAGCTGTGCTTCACAGTAGTACAGAACACCTTATCACACATGTGCTCTTGCTGCCATTGTCAAGCCTCTTTGTTTCATTTTTAATTCATTTAGAAACAGGATTTAAAACATATACAACATCATCCAAAATGATGTCCCGTGACTCAACAGTTCGAGCACGTGCTTTTCTCTGCTTCTACCAGAAAGGCCCATGGCACAGCAGAAGTAGTAAAAGGCTGGTATCCCGGAGGCTGCTGTCTGGCGGTCTGGCGGTCTGGC